CCCAGTGATCTAATTGTTTGCTAAAACTTAGTAAAATGGAGGATCATCTTTCCTTGATACGGTCTTATCCTGTGGCTGCACCAGAATGTTCTGTTTGAATCTGTTCTGTATCTTCCTCCTCCGCTTGCATATGTGTGGGCTCAGCTGAAGCGAATTTATTTCTAAAACAGGAAGCAGTTTGAAAGAATCTGGAGGTCGATGAGTGTTGATATGGGTTTAACATGCTGCGGAACCTTTCTTCTGATCGGGTTTATTCATAGTCTGTTGGATGGTGTGGGTGAACACATAGAAATATCCTCTGGTTATAGAAATATTAGAAACAGTTATAAAACTATACAGTTGAACACCAAAGACAGCTTTGATAGCTTTAGATATAGTTTTTATTTTATTCTATTACTTATTCAATTCATCTGAACAGGTTAGAAATATGGAATATGGCTGTTTAACTATTATTAATGTATTTTCTGAGCTTGTGGTGTTTTTTCTCTTAATCTGATTCTGTTGAGGTGCTTTAATATCAGTTTTCTTGCCCTTCAACCTCCATCCTCATGCAACAAAGTTCAGCAAACCTTCAGCTACAGTATTTATCCAACACCCCCAAAATGATGATATGGCGAAAAACTGGGTTAATTTTGTTGATAAAAAGAGTTTTAACTTAACTTTACCATGCTGTTAACGTCATCATTCAGAAGCAAACATTGAAGATGGAAAATAAAGTAAAATAAACCGTATAACGAGTTTATCAGTGTTAAAAGCTGTAATCTGAAACTAACTGTTCTGTTTACTTTATGAGACAGAAACAAAGATCAGGATAACAGCTCAAGGCTATATTATTTGCTAAAGCTTCAGTTTTTCCAAGCTTTGTATTAATCTGATGTGGATATATCTGTGATGCAGCTCTCTGACTGAGGAAACGCACACAGTGTTGTACATATCAGGTACTAAGTTTTGGTAAGTTCAACTGTATTTCTCAGGATAAGAACTATCACAACTGATACGGAGAATCTGAAAATTGTGTTTGTTTGTTGTTCATCTGTTTGCATTTTCTGAATCTGTATCCAATTTTGCAGACATAAATAAAAGCAGCTACCTTCATGTTCTCTCCATCACCACATGATGAGTCATTCTTAATGTAACAATGATTAATTTAAGATCTAAAAAGTTTTTTGTTGTGGCCAAAGCAGGTCCAGTTAAACCCAGTTTAGTTAGTTGGTCTTATTATCAATAAAATACGAGTATGGAAATAATAAATCTATTCTTACTATAAGCTGTCAACGAAATGTCTTCTGGGATATAAAAAGTTTAGATTTTTAATAAGGATATGTTCGTCTTTTGAAAAATACACCCATACAAAAAAAAAAATAAAATACACCCGTAAACTGAGCAGTATGTGTCTGTACAAAGGGCGTTATCTACTAAACGTTTACATGCATTTTACTATGTCTTAACTTGACAGCAAGCACAAAGCTGACCTATTAACCAGACACACCAAGACATTGAAATAAGCAGAATGGTGACTGCCTTTGGGATGCACAAAATAAATTCTCTCTGCTCTTTAAACCCTACTTAGGAACAGCCAGTTTCAGTAGTGCAGCCTGCACCCCTTTCACACCGGTTATCAATTGCACACCTAATCTATATAGATAACTCACAACAAGCTCACTAATAAAACATTAATGTGGACCTTAGTGAATCAGTGCTTCCTTCTGCAATGCTTTGGGTCTTGAATACTTGAAGCAGCTGCAGGACAAGATGAATTTTTGTGTGTTTGTGAAAGCAGAAACGCTGCAAGACTTCAGCTTATATCAATGGGTCTTTGGATAGAATTACATGATACTTTTCAAATCAAAGAACTGTGGTCCAAACTTTTTGAATCTGAAAAAAAGCCTAAAAACTATTTATTTCAGGCTAGCTCAAATTACATAGTTTTGTTTCTGTTCTAAAACATTTGCCTTTATTTCTATAATAAGGTGCTTGAAAGGTAAAGCAACATGACCTGGTTTGATCGGCTTCTGACTGTTCAACAGCTGCAGATGTTCAGTCAATATCAGCAGGATGCAAAAACAGATCCAGGCTGGCATCAATGGGGCCCCTGCTGCTGGGTGTTAATTACCGTAGCCTGCAGAACCTCATGGCACAGCTGAAGCCAGGTACTAGTCCTAAAAGTCTGAGCTCAGTGGATTCTCAGATCATAGAGCAGTAAAACAACTTTCTGACATGATGAATTTGATGTGATGTGTCAACATGAAGCACAAAGTATGGAAAGAGAACCTAGAGGTGAGCTTAGATACTAAATGATACAGTCTATATGGATTTCTACAAGTATTTTCTTCCAACTTATTAACATCAACATTTCAATCATGAAGACGTTTTAAGGATGACGAGTGTTTGCATTCAATGCTGCAGACTTAACTCTTGTTCTTTATTACCAAAACATGTGTTTTCATCCCTTACAATGCATACATTTAATATCCAGCTGAATAACTGGATGATGAAACTGTCCCTATAACACAGGGAATACATCCAAAATCTGTTTTATATTCCAAGCATGTTTGTCTGCTTTCACATTGTAAGATTAAAGACCTTCACAATAACGCCATAATTAGGCCTTCGGTCTGTGTTCTGTGAAGATAATTTTATTATTGCCCTCACGGATCGTTCAGTGAACAGTTTTGACCCAGGTGTTGTTGCTGTAGTGCTGCAGGGTTTTTAACATTCTTATTTACTGCACAGCAGAGGCGTAGCCAGAAAATCCTAATAGGGGTGGCCAGTCAATAACCAATGTACGCTGTGGGGTGGCCGAAAGGCGTCAGAACCTCAGGGTCAATC